GCGAATGAACACATTACATTACTGAATCCATCTCACATACTATCTTCTTTCGCATCCCCTCTAGCACCAATCCCTCTAGTGCATAGTCGCATTCCCGCCAACGCGATAACTCTCCGGCGGCCCATTATGACTGTAAACAACACCTCCCAGATCCAAGACAACCTTCTGCAGAATAACATTCGCCTCTACAAGCCACAGCTTGAGAGTATGCTTACCAGGTGCAAGTTCACCGTGGTTGGTAGTGTTCTTCCACGCGCTATCCGCAACCGCAACACCCCATCCAACAGGGAAGTTGGGCTGCGGCTGGTCGATGACGAACTGGCGGCGGGCTTCGGTTTTGTTGTCGATCTGGGCGATGTAGGCGAGGGGAACCTTTGGGTTGATGTTGTGGGTGGGTGTGAGGATGAGGGTGAGGTTGAGGCCCTTGGCCTTGGTGGTGGGTGTAAAAGTGACGAAGTCGTATTCCAGACTTGGTGCGCTTGAGGAATCGAGGCCTTCGGCTAGGTTGTTCGCGAGCTTGACGCCAGATATGGTACGGCCGTATTTGGGGAGGACCATGTATTCGTTGTCGGAGGAACCAGGGGTGGAGCGCGTGTAGTGCTCTGCTTCGAAAGCGAGTTGACCCGCGGATTCGACGAAGCCGGCGTTGAAGTCGGAGGGGATGGACGTCTTGTTTACCATGAGCATGACTTGGGGGTTTCCGCCTTGGGTGCCGAAGTCGGTGGAGCTGGAGAAGTTGAGCTTGCTCTGGGCGCCGAAGCCGTCTTCGACCTTGGTCCAGTCTACGTCGACGTAGATGCGGATATCTTCATCGTTGGGCTGCATGGTTCCCTTGGCTTCGGAGAGAGTGACAAAGGGATCAGCGCTGATGTTCCAGTTGAAGGCGCCGGTACCGCGGTGAGAGATCTCGATCCAGCGCTTGGGGGTGAAGGGTGTCATGGCCGGGAGGGTCAGCGAGCCACCTCCGTTGCTGTGCCACATGTCGTCACCGGGAATGGTGGCGTTTGAGCCCTCGACTGAGATGCCCATGTCACCTGCTAGGGAGCGCTCTTGAGTCTGTACCCAGCGGAGGTCGGGGGTAGACTGCCGCATAGGTTGTTGCCTGCGATTGGGTTAATATCATGATTTCCACCGCAAGGTCATTGGAAACTTACCAGTATCCTTGGTAACCAAGATGGGTCTGGTCCATCATGTGGTCCCACTTGCCGTTGAGCTGAGTGTGGTAGAGGCGGGTGAGGTTGTGGTCCTTGTTCATGCCATCAATCACACGCTGCATCCATCTGTTGGCGCTGTTGCGGCCCATCTGCGCGTAGATGATGTTCCTGGCGCCCGAAACCTGTACATCGACGTGGTTGCCTCCAGCAAGGACACGGTGCAAAATGATCTCGTAGAATGCTGGCTGTTGTTCAGGAGAAAGCGCAGCGTTGACCTTGTTGGCGCGTTCGGCGAGTGACTCCCAGTGAGCGAGGATGCGGTCAGCCTCCTCGTAGTTGAGAACGCTGAAGGAAGAGGGCTCGACCCATTCGAACTTGCGCATGTTGGCGAGGAAACCGTACTCGTCCATAATCTCGGCGATCTCCTCAGCATGCTCTTCACCGAAGTTACGGGCGGCGAATCCAGCGAGCCACTCAGGCACTGAGTCGTGGTTGTAAGAGTCCATGTCGTAGGCAATGTCGAACCAATGGCTGATGGCGATCTCAGCGGGCTTGATGTCACCGACGTTGACGATCCAGATCCGGTCAGCCTCACGGTCCTTGGCCAACTTCATCTGCTCGTAAGTCTTCTGGAGCTGGATCGTATCTTGCCACTTGTAGTTGCGAGAGTCACCGACGTAGTCGAAGTGGTAGTAGACACCAGCACCTCCGGATCGGTTCTTCTCGTCGCCAACTGGGAGACGACGAATGTTTTGCCAGTTGTCCTCAGTCCAGAGGAGAGTAACCCAGTCGGGAACTTTCATGCCAGCCTCAAAGTAGTCCTGGACTTCCTTGTACAAACACCACATCTGAGGAACCTCGGACGCGTCGCCGTGAACCTTGGTGAGAATGTCTTGCTGAGCGTCGACCACGGCCTCAAGGACCGAGGTTTGGACATCGGAAGACATAGCAGTGTCGTGGTATCCGCGCATACCGACAGTGACGACGTTCTCGTAGGGAGCAGCGCGCACGGCACCCTCCATGAAGTAGTCGTAGAGAGTAGCGTTGTTGGTCGCCCAAGACCAGCCAGATTCGGCACCCTTGGCGACCTTGCTCCATTCCTGGGTGGCACGAACCATGGGCTCAGTGTGCGATGTTCCCATCACGATACCGTACTCGTCGGCAAGCGGCTGGTTGCGGGCATCGTCGACGTTGAACATGCCGTTCCACATAGCCGGCCAGAGGTAGTTGGCCTTGGAGCGGAGCAGCAGTTCGAAGACCTTGGAGTAGAACTGAGCTCCGAACGGTGCGCCATAGGGAGACTGAGGGTAGCGGTCGTTGGCCCAGCCGGTCAGAGCAGGGGCTTCGTCGTTGATGAAGAAACCACGGTACTTGACAGATGGCGTCTTCTGGACTTTGGTGGTTTGGAGCATGTAGATGGAGTCATGTTTCTTCGCAGGTACGTCGGCGAACCAGTGCCATGGCGAGACACCGATTTGCTCAGATATATCGTAGATACCGTAGATGGCACCGCGGCGATCGCTGCCTATAAAGAGTTAGCGTCGAGCATCAAGACCAATCTCGGGATACATACCAGCAATGACAAGTGCGTCGCCAGTCATGTTTCCAGCCTGCTTCACCACCGCACTAACGTAGGACTCCCATTGACCCTCAACCTCGCTGACGTCGAGCTGTCCGCTCGCAATCATGTCGTCGATCAGACTTGAGTTGCCAATGGTTCCCACGATGATGGTGCCAGCAGATGAGTTGGACGCAGCACTGCCACTAACGCTCCAATCCTCGCCAATGCCAGTAACATTGAAGATCATGGAAGCATTAGCCGTCGGCGTTCCAGAAGTCATCAGAGTACCATTGGTACCCGTAACCCGTCCGAAGTCGATAGCAAGGTCGTGAGCAGCGCGCAGAACACCGGGCCAATCCGCAGCATCAGCGTGAATACTGACAGGAGAGCCACGAGCGGCGAGAAGAGACGAGCCATCGCCTTCTGTAGAAGAAACAGTAGGCTTGCGGAAGGCCTCAAGAGCAGAAGCCGAGCCAGCAAAGGCGACGGAAAGCGACAGGGCGCTGACCACGGTGCGAGAGAAGAGCTCCATGATGCCTGGTCAGTAGTCGAGCAACGTCCTGAACAGCGAACGAAAACGCGGAGAATCCCCAGCTTTTGAATGGCTTCCCCAGAACATACGCCGCGGTGATAGCCACGACGGTAACCCCATAGTCACCAAGAGATCCGCACCGCCCTAGCCGTTTAGTCGACTAGTCATCGTGCATGTTCGTACATCGAATGACCACCTTCCCATGAAATGTCTAGCAGCGACTGCATATCCAGGAACAGCATGCAGTTGCTGGCCAACGGCCCGATATTGAGGGACCCTAGTCGCTTTACCCCAGCCGGGACCGGTTGTTCTATGGCTAAATTGACGTGACGTACATGAGCCAGTCGCCTTGTCGCTGCAAGACTTCTAGAAGGGCAAGCAAGCAGTCTTGGCGGTAGGTCGGAGGACACGTGCAGCATGCAAATATCCGGATCCATGCACTGCACATGGAAAGTCGGTAGCAAAGGCGCTGTGCGATTGATTGGTACCAACTCGGCGTCCAGACAATCGGATACCATCTCTGGGATGCTGAGACGACGCAGAAATTGTTCCGTGTCAGTTCGCCATGCTTTCCCTTGACGACAAACATGAGGCCGCCTGATCCCCCTCTTTGCACACGGAGATTTCCAAAAGAAACGCAGGGTGCGCAGCGCGAAGGGGCTTGGAAAACGGGTCTACGGGCTCATGGAGCGGCACTCCCCACGGTGGGTGAAAAGGCTAAATGCAGTCCCCCGCAAACTGCTCAAACCGCTCTGGGCCTAGTGCGGCGGCAAGGCGCCAAGCATCGCGAAAAATGTTGGAAGCGCGAATTATCCAAAGAAACATACAGCCGTCTTACCCCCAATAGCGCCACAGCAACCTCCGACTCGATTAGTGGAGATTTGCATACTATCGTGTGATTAGTCGTGTTCGGAGATCAATCACCCGACTAAGCCTTCCTTCACCGTTCCGGAAGGGAGTCCAGGACGCTCCGACTTTTGTCAAACCTCCGCATACTCGACCCCACGCACGCGTCTACAGCCGACCGTCGCAATGGCCCAAGGCGCAATCAAGAAGACCAAGGCCGCTCCTCCGAAGAAGTGCGTCCTCTCCCCGCGCTCAACACTCCACCAAGCGCAAACTGTTCTCCCAACACGCATACTAACATCGGAACTCTAGGTCCTCGGTCGCGCGCAAACAAACCGGCGCCCGCGTCATCAAGCCCAAGAAAGCGTCCATCATCACACAAAACAAGATCAAGCACAAGAGCAGCTCTGGGCTCGTAGGCAATACAGAGAAGATGCTTGCGCAGAAGGCGGGGCATTTGGAGATACTCAAGGGGGGAAAGAGGGATAAGAGGGAACCCGGTGACAAGAAGAAGAGTGGTTGAAATGTGGACTTCGTGGGATAGATATCTGGCAAGGCGCGTGGAATTATGACCTGGGTCTCTGAGGTTTGGCATGAAGTAATGCGCCTCGACGCGAGAGCGGCTTCATGGACAGCGAGAATGGTGTTCAGCGTAGGAAAAGATGAGCCTTATACGATCGGTATCACGCGATACAAGCCAGGTCATTAGTGGTTACCTGAAGGAATCAACGACAGAAGGCATACTTGAAGGACATGGGATGGAAGCTGAAGATATCGTAATTCGAACAACAGTGTCCATTCGCGAGGCAAATGCCGAGCCCATCCAGTGAGTATTCAGGTAGCATATCCCAGCGCCCTGCCGCGACCAGAGAAATGGAAGAAATACCATCAAGTCCACTCCATATCCTCAAATAATACCCGCTCGTGCAGCCTCACCACCCCCAGCATCCACCACAGCTTCCCTCGCCTTTCCTCTGCCCAGTCCACCCTCTCCAACGCCCATCCTTCGTGCGACATAGCGCTGTGCAACAATACCCACACTCAAATTGATCGTCTCCTCCATCCACTCGCTAACCCATTCCCGTGGATCCACACCACCACTCTCGATAATCTCATAAATTTCCTGCGGTAGTTGTTGCTCCTCGCCCTCGGCCTCGGTATTGGCCGGCGCATCTAGCCAGTCGACCCATTTCGACGGGAAAGACTGGCTGATGGACTTGAAGGAGATGCCGTGGATAGGGTCGTGCAGGTAGATAGCGAAAGCCACCTCCTCCTCGTCCTCCTTTTGTTCTTCCACATCCGACTTTTCTTCTGAGGAGGATGTAGCGAAGAGTTCGTCTTGTACGGGATAGCTGATAGCTTGGATCGCAATAAAGATGTCGCTGCTCCTGACGGGGTTCGTCTCGCTCAGGACTTCTGTCGCTTGCTTGGCTGCTTCTTCAACACCTCCTCTCGCACCAAAGAACTCGTTCGCGTACGACTCTGCGCTGACGCGTGCGAGCTTTGTGCCTTCTACGAGTCCTTTGACCACGGAGAGGTCGCGCTTGTCGGTGTGTCGCCACCATGGCCCGTCGTTCCAGCCCCCACCGCCGCCCCGGTAGCCGTCCAATGATCCGCGCTGTGTTGACTCGGAGCCGCGTTGGATGACCATGAGGTCTCCGCCTTCTACTTGTGCCATGACGCCGGCGAATGTCTGGTAGATGAGGGGGTCGAGCGAGGGGTACCCGATGAGGTCGTGTGTGATGTGGATCTGGAGGCGTTCATGCTGGGAGATGGGTGGTGCGAGGGTGTTTAGGATGTTGGTAAAGGTAGGTACGGCACGCTTGCCGAGTTCACCTCCTGTAGCATGTTAGACTGAGATGACATGGTGGGAAATGGAATTGTACCAATGCCGCGAAGAGCACCAACGTTCCCTCGTACTTGCTCCGCCCATCGCTGGGCTTCTTGGTTCTTTTGGATCTCTTGGTAGGCGGCTTCCGCTTGCTTCCTCGCCGTCTCTGCTGCTGCAGTGGCTGTTGACACCAGTCCTCCCCATCCACCTCCCCACCAAGATCCACCTGACTGCTTCTCCTCCTGGGGCTCAGGTGCTTGTTGTTTGGCGGGCGCCTCTCGGGTTGGCGCGAAGCTCTGGTGGTACGAACGGGTACTCTCCCCTGATTTCCTCGGCACTGAAGGTCGGTTGTCTTCGCTTGTACGTGCTGATCCAGTGGAAGAGGGAGTAGCTACGCCTGGTGCGCGGCGGCTGCTCGATGTGGTCGATGACGAGGCTACTTTGGGTGTGTTTGGACGACTGATCTGGCGGGGAGCTGCTGGTTGAGCCTTGCCCAATTGCTCCAGCTCATCCAGGTCCTTCAGAGCATCTTCATCCTCCTGGCGCTGGATCTTCTGGCGTGGTGCGCGGGACCCTTTGGCATGCTTCGGCGGGGGTGCGGGAGTCTCCCCAGCCAGAGCTTCCAGTTCCGCGAGCTCTTCGTCAGCTGTCTTGGGTGGCATGATGGATGGAAGATAAGGAGACTAGTTCAAGGTGATAGTGCCCACAGTCACGAGTCACTGAGAGAGCGGAGGCGTATACAGTCGGCGGATATCACTGCAAACATCAAGTCATGGCCGTCTTGTTTGGACCATCTGACAGCTAGATGCCAGTCAGTTTAGCGTGTTGATGTCATTGGCTGCCTGCGCATGCGCCAAGCGCGATCATGGTTCGGCTCGCTTTTGCTGAAGCAGCCACGCCCCGTAACAAAGATCATCACACTCGATTCACTGACTATTCCATTTCCCATTTCCTTTTCAAGATACCCTCTATCACCTGCTAGCTTTTATTTGCGCGCGCTCTTTGCGGAAGCGCAAGGTTCTGTTCATCTTCTTCGCTCACAGCTTTTGTCACCCTGAAGGCTTGCGATTCGCGCTACGCCCCTTCGGCCCCTACATGGAGACATTGTCCCGACAGGTACACCCACATCAAACTCAACACAACATTCACTACCTGCATTGGCCCCGCGTATCTTCCTGATGCCACGTCCACGGGGTGCGGCTACGCGCGGTGCCACACGTCGCAATTCGCAGCAAGATGACACGCTTTCCCGGACCCGTGGTCAAGCAGCAAAACAAGCGCCATCAGAACCAGATGCGCCAGACACGGTTGCACCAGCATTCAGTCCTACCAAACTGAGTCCTACCATCACTAGGAAGACAACTCGCTCAGCTTCCAACATTTCTGGTAATTCATTCGAGGCGCCGTCCGCGTCCGAAATCTACGCATCATATGAGCACCCGTTGTTCATGGTCTTTGGTCTGTCACCCGAGTTCTTTGACGGTCTGAAGAAGCACCATGGAAAACTTCCCAAAGAACGCAAGTCTATCGTTGGCGCACTCCCAGAGCGCTCACCTACTCCAGAAGAAGCCTCGGAGTCTGAAGATGAGAGTGCCGAAGAGAGTGAGGTTGAAGTGCCTGTTGCGCCTCCGCCAGCGCCAAGAGGTCGTGGACGCGGTGGTCGAGGCTCACGTGGCGGACGCGGTCGAGGCGGTCGCGGCAGAGGCAGTCGAGGAGGACGCGGTCGCGGCGGTACTTCACGAGGAACTTCATCTGCGCCATCAAAAGCATCTCGCAATGCTGCCGCCATGTTTCCACTTACAGAAGATGATGATGATCAGCCATCCAATCAGAGCACACCCAACGGCAACGCCAAGCCATCCATGCGACTTCTCAACAACAACCGTCTGCATAGTTCTGATGATGAGAACGAAGAAGCGATTGAGGATGACGAGAGCGAGGCCGAGTATGATCGCATAGACGTTGTACAGAAACCATCCAGAACACCCCAAGGTTCTGCGCCACCCGGTCAAGACTCACTCGATGGCGGTTCACATACATCAGCGCCGACACGCGAGTCAAGACCAGAGCCCACGTCGAGGAGATCCACCAAGCTTGCGGTACCCAAGATCGCGCTGCCAGAGTCAGCCTCACAGACACCGCGAGATTCTGCATCGACGCCTGCGGAGTCCGCAGTCCCAAAACTGCTAGAGCCTGAGGAGGATATGCTTTCCGAGTCAGATCTTCCCGATCCCTTCATTGAAGACGCGCCTTCTCCGATCGAAGCCGAGTGCGAAGATAGAGCAGACTACCTCCTGCAGAAGCGCTTCAAGCCGATGACTGACGTACAAGCTGCTATCGCCGCCTTGACGAAGTTTCCAGCAGCGCAACGGAGTACTGAGAATCTCTACGCTCTAACGCAGAACACGCAACAGATCCTCAAAGCTTGGCAGGACGAGTATCTCGTGTTGGACGCAAGGGTATGTTACTGTCATCATTTCATATGTATCTACTAATAGTCCCAGACTGCACCTCACATGCATCCAGCCAAGAAGGCTTGCAACGGTGGACGTATCCCGCTGGCTCCGGAAGTCTTCGAGGACATGAAAGAGGCCGACCTCTATGGCTATATCTACGACCCAAAGAAGCCACCCGGCTGTCAGGATCCTTTCTTACAGCGGCCAGGCGCGGACAAGGGTGGCAAGAGAGAACTACGCACGCGTCGCACACGGGACCAGCTTGAGTCGGCAGCTCCCAGTGAAGAGGAAGACGAAGAAGACGGTGAAGGTCGACCCTCTAAGCGGCAACGACGAGCCACCCGCAAGTTTGACGGTACTGACACAGGAACTGGTGCCAACACCCCCAAGAAGCACAACGGCTGGGGCGGCGCGCGCAAGAAAGGTGTTAGTCGATTCACGAAGCCAACTTCCGAGACCCCAGAGCCAGAAGGACGAGGCGTAAAGCGAGCCCGGACAACGGCTAGTAACTTGCTCCATCAACGCATCCAAGAAATGAGAGAGGAATCAGTTGTCGGTAGTTCCGGGGACGAGGACTCATCAACCATGGACGTAGACGAGTATTCAGATGCTAACCCTAAGCGTGGACGTCCAGCCGGTAGTAAGAACGTAGCTCGCCGTAGTGACTTTGGAGTAAAGAAAGGCCCACGAAAGAAGACCAGCGAATCAGGAACCCCAGCACCCTCGGCACATGGCCCAAACGCTCCACCACCAGCACTGAACTCAATGAGTGAAGGTCAAGGTCAGTTTACTATTGATGCCCAGCCGTTCCCGGAAGGCATACCCATAATGGCACCGAACTCTGCTGAGACGGTTTTTCAAGGCACACTACAGTATTCTGCGCCCAACACAGAGGTACCACTTGTGCATCCGAGCGAATCCAGTACTCCTGACGCGTACATGCTCACTGCCCCCCTTAGTCAGTATACAGCCAACAACAGCTACGCGGACGACTCATCCCCAGCGTCAGGCTCGCGACGGAAACCGCGCGTAAAATCAGAGAAGCGCAGTCAATCCATGACCATGTGGTGGGCCGAACGCAAGGCAAAGAAGCGGGAGGAGGAAGCGCAGGCCGGAATTACCCCAACACCCGATCCGCGCGAAAAATCCGCGACGCAAAAGGGTGCCCGGCAGTCTGAAGGCTCGGCGACTGGCGCTACACCGCAATCGCAGCCTTCGCATTCCCAGCAAGCATCTCCGATACACCATCCACAGCACGCTCCTCAACACAGTCCCCATCACCCTCCGCCAGAAGCGTACCTGCAGTATACCCAAGGCCCGCCGCAACACTACATGTACCTCAGCGGACCGCCTCCACCACAACACATGATGATGCAGTACTCGCCACTTGCGGCCCTTCCCACTGGTTCTTTCCCTAGCCCATATCCCCATCACGCGCCACACGCCCACAGCGGAATTCCCCTTACCCAACCCCCGAGCACAGCAGGCGGACCGTTTGGAGGTCCCCGCCAACTCGCCCCAGCACCCATGAACATGCCCACATACCCCAGCCCGTACGGTCCCCAAAGCCCAGCCGGAGGCAGACCCAAGAGCAGTGGCCAGTCACTGCCTAGGAGTGCTGCTACTACCGGCCAGAACGGACAGCAAGTACTGGCACCCGCACCATCTCAGCAACAACACCAGCAGCAGCAAGGACAGCATTTCAGCCCATACGCACCGATGAATGTCGGAGGTGCCGCGGGTCGCGAGATGCCGTTCAAAGTCATGGTTCCCGGTCCAGCCCCAGAGAGGAGAGGAAGTCGTTAGAAGCGATTGTCGCCTCGTAATGAAGACGGAGGCGAGGATAGCGATGACAGTATATACGTGCTTGATTGATTGATTCATTGTTTTCATGCGATAGCGAGCTGTGCTGGGCTGAGATGGGCGGGTGTGATTTTTTACTGAACGATGCGAATTAGAACGGCTGTTAGTAAGCCTGTGTATTATAGTAATACTACTGAAAAATTGCATTTGCCTGGCTTTCATGCCGGGCATATTGCCATCCACTTGATGTACTATGTTCCCAAGTATTGCCGACGACATGTTGCATTCACTCTTATCTTATGAGGTTCTGATATTGGTAGAGAGCTATACCAGGCCAGGACACCTTTCCGATGATACCACTAGTCTATGTTTTCATCTTAATGCACCATGTTTGAGAGGACGTGTGGGCCACGAGTGTACAAAATATGTCGCTGGCGTGGGCTACTATCAAATCAATAAACTTTATATGAACAGCTTACTAGGCTTCCAAGCCGACGGCAGCGTTATTCATCCGACTGATCGCACTCGCCCTCCAAGTATCTTCTTCCAGACTGATGCCACTTTTCTTGAAGAGCATGTTCCTAGCGCTCTCTTTTGTGTATGTCGGCCAGGTTGTTCTAGAGTCCAGAGCATAACGAGCATTCGGCGAGAGCTCGTTAACAAAGCTCACCCACATCCTGCACATGCGCTTACTGAGCCTGACGAGATGGTCGCTTTCTTCCGTAGAGTTGGAAGCAAGAAAGTTGACCTCATGTCCAACACCCTCGACATTGCCAAACACAAACGGAATCTCTGTGTAGTGCGCGGCACCTAGAGTTTCGGCCGAAACACCGCTCCCCACGGTGTCGAAACGGTAGCTGTAAGCAGGAACGCCATATTCAGCCCACGTCTCTGTGGCAAGGCGCCTTGCAGCAATGAAGATATAATCGCCTACGAATAAGGAAATTCTTCCGTAGAGACTACCGTAATCTGGGCGGGATGATGGCAACACAGTACCGAGGGAATCCTGTAGATTCTCGGGCGACATCCGCTCGAGGTACTCAGCAGCGATACTATCCACCGTCGTACTGGCTATGCCAGGGCCCAACCATCCCGCAACGACTGCCCGGAACTGGGTGGGATCACTTATACCTTTCAAACCCTGACTTATGGTGAAAGATGTACCCTCATTCGTATTCGCACCAGCGAGTATGGGCACCCGTACAAATCTACCCTGCTTCAAAGCCATCCGCGAGTTTCCATCGAAGAACTCGCCGTCTTGAACTGGGATCAATGATTGATGTTGGAAGACAGCCTTGAGCGCCTCGGCGGGTAGACTTCTCAGGCAGTCGAGCGTGTCCTCTTCGAGCATACAACCAGTCTGCCTGAGCAAGTTGTCGTAGAAGACGTCCTGCTCTCGCACC